ATCTCGGATGAAATAAACTAGAAAAGCTAAGGGTAAGGATACTTAGTTTCAATTAAATACAATTTTAGATATTTAAGAAAATTGTCATTGTTACATTTCGTTTTATTTTAATTTCTACGTGTATGTTTTAATGGCAGCTTTATATCAAATCGGTGGTACATTTATATGAGTTCAGGAGAATACAGTATAACTTTTTGATTGATTGATTGTTGTAGTTCTGTATGTCTCTTGGAGGAAAATGTCACTTGTATGAGAGGTCACCTGATGCTGGTGAAGGCTTCAAATTTAGACCTTTACTTATTCGCACGATACTCAGGGCAATTGAGCAGTGAAGGTTCTCTGGCGTGCAAACAACTCAGACATGGTGCGCCCGTTCGAGGTCTCATTTGAAAGACCTGCAACTTAAACTTCAAAGTACCAAACATTTTGTGAAGGAACAGTTTCTACCTATATTCCTTTTATCATTTTTGCAACCAATGCACGGACCCGAGATCACAGAGAGACTTATCGAGCTACATGACAGTACTTTACACACACTGTATTCTCTCCCAGTTCCCTTTACCATATGAAATTAAGGCTCATAAATCATGACCGCATTTTGCTTTACTTAAGTTGCAGGTTTGCATCTTTAAAATAATAATTAAATGATATTTATATTTACAAGCAATATGTGCAAATCCAGGATTTTTTTTTTTCAAGGGGGGGGGGGGGGTGTTCCACACCTTTACACAAGAATGTACATGTAGGCCTAAACATAGCTCTTTTTCAGTGTTTGCTTTCCTAGAAGAACATATCTATTAATTCATATGTTAACGGGAATCTTTAGTGATAGATGGAAACGAATCATTTGATTGACACATCACTCGAATAATGATATACATTTAAAGTATTTCTTTATACTTGATCCAGAAGAATTACCAAATGAATGGTGAACCATGAATAAAACATGTCATGATGTACAGGAAATGCAAATTGATTATGAATCTTCGCACTCTGTTGCTTTAAAATTATTGTGGTTAAAATGCATAAAAACCACAGCATTTACAAAATGGGTTACAAATTTGACCGAAATCTTTTTCTCAGTTTCCTACAAACTATAATTTTTTCTTATAAATTTTAAGCAGACAATATCTTTCTTTGTCCAGAGAAGTTTCATCCTTGATGTGTGATCTTGTGATCTTAAAATCAACAGGAGTCATCTACTCCTTAGGGGATACCAGCATACTTTCCTCAAATCCTCTGTTGTCATGTATAAAGAGTTAAAATTTAAAATGGGAAGAGGAACATTTCTCAGATATGTTATGTGTTTAGGCTTATGAAGCCAGTGTCAACAGATAGGAGAGGAACGTTCCTCTTATGAAGCCAGTGTGACCAAATAGGAGAGGAACGTTCCTCTTATGAAGCCAGTGTCAACAGATAGGAGAGGAACGTTCCTCTTGTGAAGCCAGTGTCAACAAATAGGAGAGGAACGTTCCTCTATGAAACCAGTGCCAACAAATAGGAGAGGAACGTTCCTCTATGAAACCAGTGCCAACAAATAGGAGAGGAATTCCTCTTATGAAGCCAGTGCCAACAGTTCGGAGAGGAACGTTCCTCTTATGAAGCCAGTGTCAATAGGAGAGGAACGTTCCTCTTATGAAGCCAGTGTCAATAGGAGAGGAACGTTCCTCTTATGAAGCCAGTGTCAATAGGAGAGGAACGTTCCTCTTATGAAGCCAGTGTCAATAGGAGAGGAACGTTCCTCTTATGAAGCCAGTGCCAACAAATAGGAGAGGAACGTTCCTCTTATGAAGCCAGTGCCAACATTTAGAAGAGGAACGTTCCTCAGATTCATTGGGTTCAGATTCATGTATATATTGTTAATATTTTAAAATGAGAAGAGGAACGTTCCTCAAATGTTCAGTCTATTTAGATTGATGTTTGTTGTATCATTGATTAGAATTGGTAGAGGAACGTTCCTCAAATATAATCTGTATTAGGGTTCATGGATATAGTATGTATTATCAATTGAAATTGATAGAGGAACGTTCCTCGTATAGCATTGTATATACAAACACACACATTTATTATAAGCAATCTGAAATAAAAGAGGAACTTCCTCAAATACAGTTTTTGTGCATAGAACTAAGGAGACAACGAGGAAGATTTCTGATGAAGAGGAACGTTCCTCTCTTAAATTGCACTTAAAGTGGCGAATTTCTCAAAAAGCTCCCTTGTAGCGGCTCACTTATTGACTTTTAGACCATTTTCGACTTTATATTTGAAAAATAAGGTTTAAAAAAGGAAATTTGATTTTCTCTTTTTGATTTGGATTGTGTTATATATATATATATATATATATATATATATATATATATATATATATATATATATATATATATATATATATATATATATATATATATATATATATATATATATTAGGCTTTAATTATAGGACCTCACCTTCATGACAGAATTTTCCTTTCCAACCAGGATAACATCCATTGTCACAAATTCCATTTGTTCTATTACACCCTTTACATGTATTATTGCACGTTTCGAGACAGTTTCGTCCAAATGTTCCGTTTTCGCAAGCTGTAACACATATGATTCATTTTAACCAATAGTATTCTCACATGTATTTTTAACTGACGACAAAACATAAAATTTATGCAATTACAGTTTCCTAATACGTATAGTAAAATATTCCATCATATCTTACTCTCATTACACAACATCCCTTCAAAGCCTTCATCACAGCCATTTTGACATGTCCCGTTATTTGGCTGACATTGTTCGGACCTTAAACAGTTTCCACAAACCATGCTGCAATTATCTCCGTAAAATCCATCATTGCATACTGCGATTAAAAAAAAAAAAGAAAGATATTACCTTCAAAACAAATGTATTCACTTTGAGTTGTGCTTCATTTTGTTTCTCTGTATTTTTTTCTAATTCCTTGAAATACGAAATAACATTTTTTTTTTTTATTTACTGTAGCATTAGTTGATTAGAAACTACCTAAAACAATATACTCTGACTTTGTAGCTTTTGAAAAAGCTGTAAAATTTTTACCTTCATGACAGAATTCTCCTTTCCAACCAGGATAACATCCATTGTCACAAATGCCGTTTGTTTTGTTGCATCCTTTACATGTTCTATTACATATGCTGATACAATTTTCTCCAAAATATCCGTCACTGCATTCTTGAAAGTGAGAAACATTATTCCAATGAGCTCGCTCGCTTGCATCTTTATCTTAAAGATATTTATTTAGAATGCAAATATTCCAACAGTTAATGTTTGTTATACCTTTGTTGCAGAACTGTCCTTCATATCCTTGAGAGCACCTGTTTAAACACATCCCATTTATCGGATTACATTCTTCTGATTTCTTGCAATGTCCACATGGCATGCTACAATTCTCACCAAAGAACCCATCATCACACTCTAGAAAATAAAAAAAAAATATTTTCTGAGAAGAAATTGACGCATGTATTAACCAAAGAAGAGGTCCATGAGCCATAACGCTCAGCTGCGTCATCCTGATCCTGCTGTTTTCGAAAATTATAAATCCCTCCTTTTTTCCACATGAATCATTATGTTCCCACATTGTTGCCCCGATCTAGCACCAAGAGGTCATTATACATGTTTCAATAAAATTGGATTAACACACCATTGGGATGTCCGAGTAACTGACTAACATGACCTTGCTGCCCTAGAGAAGAGGCTTTTTTCCCTCATATAAATGTTAATACATTATGTGAAATTGATCCTCAGTTTTCTTGCCCCAACTAACCGAAGTGTCATGAATTTGAGTACGAATTAGTGTGGTCCATATATTCTTTAAAAAAAAAAATTTCATAAATTTCCGAAAGAAATGCAAGTAAAACATTGATTCATTATTGTGTCCCAACCCTATCCCTGTAATTATGATTTGAACACATTTAAATCTTTATTAAGAACATAAGCATATAATAAGAATAAACAATGTCGAACAGTTCCTGAAAACCTATTTTGAAAATGGTTATCTCGGCACATTCACTCCTAAAACCTTGATTCACTATTTTGGATTAAACCAATCACTTGCAACAAGGTGAACAAACTAAAATCTTCGTTGCCTCAGGATACTCCAGTAGCAATGTCCCTAGTGGTACTGCTGTTCTTAAAAAATAAAATGTCAGATGTTTTTAAGATGTATTGCCATGCAAAACATTGATCTCTTAGTGTGGCCCTATCTTTTAGCAAACTTCAACCTCAACTTCCTTAGCATACATGCATTAAAATATCACTTATCGTGCATTTCTATCCTTGACTAGTTTTTTTTGAAATATTGTTCGTTTATATGACCATTAGAAACACTTTGGTGAACCACCCTTCCTCATGAAAATTCGAATTATCAAAATTTCTAATTCAAGCCATTAGAAGATGTTTTCCCCCCAAAAAAACCTTGACACCGTATCGAGGCTCCATGTATGTTTGCATATTAATAGCATTTATCATGGATGTGCTCTTCATGAGGAAAAATGTTTTCTTACTTTTAATATTTTAGTAATTTTGATATCCTACTGTGCCCCGTCCTACCCCTGGGGAAAAGATGTGCAAAAATTTGAATGAACACTATGTCTGAAAGCTTTGACATGTTTCCTTTTTTCGTTCAGTGGTGGTTGATTTCAATGACCCAAATTTTCACTTTTTAAAAATTATCCCTCGGGAAAAAAGAGTGACTTGTTATGTGTAAAAACAGGAATTCAGTCTACCTAATGATGTTTTATGGCATGATTGGTTGATTTTGGTGAAATGGTTCTAAGGAAACAAAACAATGTGAAAAGTTTACAAAACGACGGACGACGGAAAGCGGAAGACAGACATGCCATACGGACGCTGGGCACTACATTAAAATATCAGCTTACTTGAGACTTATGCTCAGGTAAGCAAATAATGTCAGCAAAGCCATATCGATAAAAACAAGGAAATTATTTTCAAGTGTTTGGTACATGTACATCACTTACCTTCATGACAATAATCTCCCTTCCATCCTGGCTGACATCCGTTGTCACAAAGACCATTTGTTCTGTTACATGTAGATCCATAACATGTTTTGTTACACATCTCCAGACAGTTTCGCCCAAATCTTCCAATTTTGCATGCTGTAGTTTTGTAACAAAACAATTATCACACAAATTGGAGCAAATTCTTTGAAAACGATTATTTTTATGAAAAAAAAAATCGTTTCATATTCACGAATGTCTTACTTTTATTGCAAAAAGTCCCTTCATTTCCTTCATTACAACCATTTATGCATGTTCCGTTAATTGGATGACATTGTTCTAAATTTATGCAGTATCCACAAAGCATGCTGCAGTTAATTCCATAAAATCCGCCATCGCATTCTGGAAATGTTTTAAAGGATGAAATGCACAATAAACATTAATTATCCTCAGTTCTCATTATATAGCGGGTTCCACTGTATCGCGCTATATTTAAAAAAAAATCGGATACATAGCTCATATCCTTTTTGTTGATGGACTATCTGTCTGTCGTCTGAATGTTGACTTTTGTGAGGATTAAAAAGTATGGAACACCTGTTGGCAATTTTTTTATTCAAATAAAACGTAATATTACAGATTACCATTCCCGTTTTTTCTTTTATTTAGACCATTGAATTTATGTCATGTGAAATCCATAATAAAGTTCATATTTTGAAAGTCTCAAGTATGTATTATTGTTTAGTTTTCATGTAGAAGTACATCGTGAATTTAAAAATAAAAATTGACGTCCATGTCAACTACAAGCTTCCATAATTTCCCATACGGCGATACAGTGAGTCTCTCCAATTTAGGAGGTAATCAAGACTTCCTGTTTTAAAAATAGAATACAAATTAAACGATGCAAGCTTGGAAAATAATTTGACACTAAAAAAAAATTAGGCCATAGTTAGGTTTATGAATATCATTTGATCAAAGGTTAAAGTAAAAATTTGGAATTACACTTTTTATGCAAAAGAATTAAGTACCGCGATATAATGAGACACCAGTATATATGGATATCGTTTTGTTAAAATCGACACACATCATCTGCTCTTTGAATAGATTTCTTTATATTTTGATAGATTGATACACAAACAAGTATCTAAATAAATGAATAAATAAAAAAATAAAAGGAATATAATTAACCATCGAAAAATAAAATAATTAGTGTTAAAAAATAGATAAAAAAATCGAAATATTTTGAGATTTTGTGAGTAAAATTATATAGTTTTACCATTATGACAGAATTCTCCTTTCCAACCAGGATAACATCCTGTATCGCATACACCATTCGTTCTGTTACAACCATAACATGTATTGTTACAGCTGTTGACACAGTTTTCTCCAAAGAATCCGTCAGTACATGCTGAAGGATTAAAACAATACCTTATGTTCGTTATTTAAGTCATTTTCTTAATTTTTACATGCATAGCTATTGTACATAGGCAGCAAATCTAGCCTATTCATGATGTTTTGTGTTATGTGTGTTATGATAACTTGCCTTATACGACATAAACAGTTTATTCACTTTCAGTAGCTTCAATTGTTATTTTTTTCATTATGATATAAATCGTTACAAACAATCCATTTCCTCTATGACGGAATTGTGCATATATGCATACATAAAAGCACAGCAGAGAGAGAGAGAGAGAGAGAGAGAGAGAGAGAGTTACAAAAATGTGTTGTTCCATCTGTTTCACAGTCTCAAATGTATCGTTTTTACCATTTGTATATGATAAGAACGGTTGTGTTCAATAAAAATTAAGATTTAAGTGTTATATTTCAAAATGCAGAATAAATTTTTAAAACTGTTCTATAATCTAGAATTGCGTCTAGTCTGGCTGCAAATTTCCAAGGTACAAGTTAAATTTAACTGTATTTATTTTCATTCAATATCTTTTATATTTACTTCTGTTGCACAACTCGCCCTCAAATCCTTCAGTACATCCACTTGAACAAGACCCATTAATTGGATGACATTCATCCGGTTTTTTGCAATGTCCACAAGAGGCATTACATTGTTCGCCGAAAAATCCATCATCACATTCTGGAATAATTTAAATACTCTTTTAATGTTTCAAATATAGAAAGTATGCTCAAGAAAAAAACAATTACACTTGTATACATGAATTTTGAAGATAACGAACAGTAATGGATCTCAAAGTCCATTGGAACAATGCAAATTGTAGCAGGGCAAATAAGGACATCAAACACATCAGAGGTGGGATCAGGTGCAATGGAGAAGTGAGCATCCCCTGTCGACCGCTCAAACCCACCGTGTGCTCCTTGTAATGATCGAGAAGAAACCCGAAAAAATCCGAAGACAATTCAATTTGTAAATAATAGCATACCAATAAGGATGAAAAACGTCAGTCTGCATATGACTTAATGATAGGTTGTATTTACTTACAAGGTCAATGTATAGACTATAAAAATTTGGAAATGATGACTTCAAACGAGACTTTGTTGATATTCTTGCTTCCAGAACTTCTTTGTCAATTGCTTGCTTCGTTTCAGATTTGTTCTTAGGTAGAGCGTGCTCTTGCGTATCGAACCAACTGAGAAACATTAACACCATATGCAGGTGATTAGGGAAGATTGCTGGATAGATAAGGGAAGTTGACGATTGAAAGGTTGAAGTCATAACTTTTATCATAGAGCTTATTGTTAGGTTACCATTGACGTCTTTTTCATGTAAAATATCCAAATATGAAACATGCGTCTTTTATTTAAAGCTCACTGGAATATATCGAGTCGACATATAAATTGAAGGAACTATTGTTAATTGATAATACGTCGTCGAACGTACAACATTTTTATATAAAAAAAAAATAACTCTGCATTTAATTGATGTTTATATAGACTACTTTTTTTTCCTTTTACGTATATAGTGTCTTGTATAAAATCCTTAAATTTTCCTCAGTTCAAATGGTCATAATTAACTAAGCAGATAAAATGTTAAGTCTTTTTTAGGGATAGGGATGAATTTAATAAAGGAGATATACTTTTATCAAAAATAGAAACATTAATAAAACCTAGATATTTAAAGAAAAAAACGGAAGGAAAAACCTTTGCAAATAGTTATTAATATAACGATCTTAAATTTGTTTTACTTAAGACCCATTGCTTCGCCAAACAAACTTTAGGCGTTTGCTTAGGCAATGATGTTTGTTTCCAATATAGGAGAATTTTTCCACAGATTGCATATTTAATCGTGAATGGCCTTTTCACTAACTTTCGTGTGACGTGCTTAGGATGTATTTTAGGCAGTACTAACATATTCTTTTTAAACACGCAGAAAGGATCTTAGCTGTATAAAAAATTACTTTATGAAAACATCCCTCACCTTTATGACAGTAATCTCCCTTCCATCCTGGATGGCATCCAGTGTCACATTTACCATTTGTTCTGTTACAACCGAAACAAGTACTGTTGCAAGTCTCCACACAATTTCTTCCAAAGGACCCGTTTTTACAGGCTGTAAGTCAAGAAATTGCAAAAGAAATTAATATAGTTCTGCATTTTGAAAAAAAAAATATGAAATAGAATCAAAAAGATTACAGAAAAACAATTATATCTAGAAATCCAAAGGGGCTTACTTTCATTGCAAAACGTCCCTTGATATCCTTCATCACAGCCATTCATACATGTTCCGTTAATTGGTTGACATTTTTCTGAATTAATGCAGTGCCCACAGTGTATACTGCAATTATCTCCATAGAATCCATTGTCACATTCTGAAAAACGTGTAGAGAAAAACAATTATCAAAAAAATGATAACATTTTTTTTTTTCATTCTTCGATGCGTTTCTTCCCTTTTAACGTTCAATTTCGCAAAATAACTTTCTCATTAAATACAAAAATGTTAAGCTTTTAGGAGAAAAAAGAGAGTTAATTTTTGAATTTATCTAAAAGCCATACGATATTACACACTGAGCTGTCAAGAATCTTAGTTTACCTAGTGTGCATTTGTGCTTAAAATGAGCATGCTGAAAAATCCTCAAATTTACTTATCAAAAACATACTTTATGAAACTATCCCTGACCTTGATGACAGTAATCTCCTTTCCATCCAGGATAACATCCAGTTTCACATATTCCGTTTGTTCCGTTACATCCATAACATGTAGAGTTACATGTCTCTAGACAGTTTCTCCCAAAGGTTCCGTTTCTACAGGCTGTAAGTCATTAAAGTAAAGGAGAAATCACAATGCCTATGCATTTATGAATATATTATAAGAAATTGAAAAAAAAAATATCTACAATTCAAGCGTGACTTACTTTCATTGCAAAAGGTCCCTTTAAACCCTTCATCGCACCCATTCATACATGTCCCGTTGATTGATTGACATTGTTCTGAATTTATACAGTGTCCACAAATCATGCGGCATTTATTTCCAAAAAATCCATTGTCACATTCTAAAAGATTTGAAAAGGAAAACAATAAAAGAGGAAATAAATATTATAAAACTCTATGCTTTTACTTGCTTCTCTGGTGTGATTCTTCCCGTTTAAAGAACCATTCTGCAAACGGTTTTCTCATTTTAAATATACCTTTAAGGAGAAAAATTCCTTTCAAAGGTAAGGTATTAAACGTATATAGCAAACTATCGATCATGAAAAAAAAATATATTGAATTAATATTTGGATTTATCCAAAACGTTATAATACATTACAGAATGAAGTGAAAAAAAAATAAGAAGTACAGGTATGCTCTTACCAAAGGCAGTGAAACAAATGAAATAAAACAGAAAAATAACATCTAATGATTGAGTGCAATGTGTGGCTTGAAAATTGATTTATATGAAATTTTGTAAATTGTACTGTAAATTTCTTTTTTGGGGGGATTTGTATGAATAAAAGTGGAGAGTTCATTTTGTTTTATGTAAAAAAAAACATTAATGTATATTTATGATTAAAAAATAATAAACAAAAATAAATGATAACAATAAAAACAATGATAACATAAAATGCTTGCAAATTCTTACTCATATTGCAACTTTTCCATTTGCCTTTTTAAAAATACCAGTTACTGTTTCTTTCGAAAAACTTAAGGCGTTATTTTTGCAATATATGAAAAAATTTTCCATGGAAGATTTGGATTTATTTGTAAATTGTTTTGTGACTAATTAAAGTGTAACCTGTTATGGATACCATTTCAACCAGTTGTACGCAAAAATACTTTTTTTTTCAAAGCCTAAAAAAGTCTTTTAGCCTTTCTATATCATGTACGACTTTAAAACGTTTCACTCACCCTTGTGACAGTAGCTCCCTTTCCATCCTGGATGACATCCGCTGTCACATTTACCATTTGTTCTGTTACATCCATAACATGTAGAGTTACAAGTCTGAAGACAGTTTCGTCCAAAGGTTCCGTTTCTACAGGCTACAAATCATTGAATTACTATATTTTGTTTTTTTGTAAGAAATGCTAAGTAATGCTTAGACATTGAAAAAGAAAATAACAGAAATGGTAATATGTAAAATTCACCCATGACTTACTTTCATTGCAAAAGGTCCCTTCAAATCCTTCATCACAGCCATTCATACATGACCCGTTGATTGGATGACATTGTTCTGAGTTTATGCATTGTCCACAAGACATACTGCAATTATCTCCATAAAATCGGCCATCGCATTCTTAAAGATTTAAAAAAAAAATGAAAATAATAAAAAGAAAAATAAAAGATATAGTTTTGTGCCTTTTTGATAGCTGAGCTAACAGCTGGTAAAATATTTTCGTTTGAGAGACTAGCAGATAATTTGGCATTAAGCATGGTTGACTCTCATCTGTATAAAAATACATTGTTGACTATTCAAGTTACGACAATTTTCAGAATCACTGCTATAATTTCCAAATGGCGTCACTTCTGATATTGTGAATATGATATGTGTTTTATTTTTAAGCGACTCAGGCTTTTTGAGAGTTTGTGAAAACAAGTTATCAACCAGCAATAGTCATGGGGCCTGTTCCTCCCATGCTAAAACGTGGAATTCTACAAATAAGGCCTACATTGAAACTATGGAATCAGACATTCAAACAGAATGGGCCTAGGTGAATTCTTATCACAAGATGAATTTTTATTATTCAGTTAACTGAAAGGTTACTGAACGTGTAATGAAAAGGTAACTGAAGGACAAGGATTTCTAGGCCATTCTGTTGAATGAATGGCAGGGTTTCGTTCTGCAAACATTTAAGAAACATACAAATACAATATCTAGGTTTAAAACACAAGTTAGAATTCGATAAATACAGTAAAGACTTTTACCCCTATGACAGAATTCTCCTTTCCAACCAGGATAGCATCCATTTCCACAAACTCCGTTTGTTCTATTACGCCCTTTACATGTATCGTTACATTTGTTGACACAGTTTTCTCCAAAGTATCCCACTGAACATGCTTAAAGTTTAATTTGAGTATATTTTATATCTTTTCAGCGCTTACTTTATTAATTGTCAAATTCTAATTTCATCTATTCATTTTTATTTTATTTTATTTACGTTTCTTGCATAGTTGTCCTTCATATCCCCCAGAACATCCATTCAAACACGTCCCATTTACTGGGTTACACTCCTCTGACTTCTTGCAATGTCCACAAGTCATGCTACAATTTTCGCCAAAGAACCCATCATTACATTCTGTAATTATTCAGATGTTTCATAATGTTTTACATTGTTTACCTAAAAATTATGAAAATGAACATACTTTTATTATCATTAGAGAAAATAAACGTTTTGTATTATATAGGAAAACAAAAAAAAAAAAAAAAAAAAAAAAACAAAACAAAACAAAACAAAAAAAAAACAAAAACAAAACAAATGTATGCATAAAATTTACAGGAACGCTGAATGTTACTTCACTTTGTTTGCTCTTTGTAACATGTAGCCTTTTTGTAAGTATAGAAACAAAGGAATTGACGTTTTTGTTCTTTCTAATTATTTTATCTAAAAAATAGTTTAAGTAGTTGAATGAAAGGTCTCATCGTGTCCTCACATTTTGATTTATAAAGACATTTTTAATAACAATAAGCTAAGATAAAGATGTCTTTTATGAATGTAAAGATAATGAACTATGCCAACAAATTCACTTCTTTTTGATGGTCTATTTTATGTTAATCCCGAAACCATTGATATACGCTTTCTTAAGACGTCTGTACATCTACAAACCAAATAACAGAGCCTGCTAGATGTTGTTAACATGGAGAAGATTTTCAATAACTTTTATTAAATATTAAGAAACTTTTTTAATTTTTTTTTCTGACAGCCCGATGATAATAAGAAACACATCTCTAATGTGACGCTAAAAGTAGGACTCTTTTAGTATAAGAGCCTACAAATTCCTTTTAAACTGCTTATTCAAGGAAACGAATAAAACTTTGTATGGAAATAATTTTACAGTGTTTGCAGTTTCCGATGATCTATTAAATGATACAGCTCGATAATTAAGAAAAAAACTTCATTCACGTTTTTGCAAGTTTTGATACCATAGAATTTTTTTTTTTCTAATTGTCATTTTGTCATTTTTATTTTTAAAACAAATAACAGATTAAGGTTGTGTGTAATAAGACGATAATTTTGATACCCATCAAAAAAATAAAAAAAAATTAAAAGTAATGTGAACATGCTTTAAAAATAGTTGGGATGTGGGCGACAGGGACGTTAGAAAATGTCAGGGGACATCAGGGGTTAGACAGTGGTGACAGGGGCGAGGTCAGGGGACGTCAGGGCGTAAACAGGGTAGTCAAGGTCAACGACAGGGGATCACAGGAGAAGTCAGGAGGAGACAGGAAAATGTTAGGGACTGACTGGGGGACGGCAAGTGTTTTTTTTTTTTTTTTTTTAATCTGAAGGGAAAGTCATTACAGTAGTGTGAAGAGCCTTCTAATCATATTTTCTCGATTAGTTATTGTATGTGGGTACATACCTCTAATTATTTTTAGAATGGGTAGGGGAAGAAAGTAGTGCAGAAAAAATTACAAGTTCCTTAATTTTCAGACCTGAATAAAAAAAACTGTGATAATGTATTAAACTGAGCCTCATACTTGTTGATAAGGAGTATGTTCCCTTGCAAAAAAGCTTGGCAGATGCAATTTATCAAGAAGATCAGCAGAATTATTTTAAGTATTAAAATACCAGTGAGAAGTCCTGAATTCCCCTACTTTCACTTTCATTTTTAGAGGTTAACGCAGACAGACGCATTTTGCCGGAAAACGAATCTGACATGCCACCTCGAGATTTTAACTAAGGAAAGACAACTTGATGTACTTTGATTTGAGGGGTCACTCACTGCTGAACGAAAATTAGGGACATTGCTATGTGAAGAAACGTTAACGTTGCCGCCTCTGGGAAAACAATAAGAGGACTGTACCCATGTAATTAATGAATATTCAATAACCTAAAAGTTTCAAGGTTTAATTTGTCAGATATTATACCTTATTCGGAATTATGCAAATGCTGTTTCCAAAGTTGCCTAAAGCGTCTAATATAACTTCCAAAAAAATCACAAGGTAATATTTTGAATGGATTTATGAACCTTTACCTTCATGGCAGTACGCTCCCTTCCAACCAGGATAACAACCATTCTCACAAATACCATTTGTTCTGTTGCATCCCTTACAAGTATCGTTACATTTGTGGATACAGTTTTCTCCAAAGTATCCTTCATTGCATGCTTTAAGACGAATAAAATGTGCTTAGAATACTCGTTATTTAGCTGTATCAGTGATTTGAGACAAAATTCTTTACTTGAATGTTCAGATATTGCACAAATGTGTTTTAATTATCTTTATAATTATATATACTTTTATTGCAGAATTGTCCTTTATATCCTCCAAAACATCCATTTAAACACGTTCCATTTATTGGGTGGCATTCGTTCGGTTGTTTGCAATGTCCACAAGCCATACTACATTGCTTCCCAAAGAATCCGTCGTCACACTCTTTAATAATTTGAATAAGTAGACAGATAAAGTACAGAAGAAATAAGGAAGAAAGCATGTTTTATTTGAAAGATTTCAATTACATCATATTTCTTCATCTTTAAATGATATTTAAAAATAAGTGTGTATGTGATCTCATTTGTCAATTCTTAAAAAAACTATCTATTGTTCAAGACAACGGCTAGCAAAGACAAATAGATTATTTAGCTTTAACATTATTTGTTTTTCTTCGTGATTGCAAATTATGTTAAAGACAAATATGAGTGATGTGATGTATTTTGTAGATAAATTGAAAAAAACTCACCTTGCTGACACCATTTGCCCTGATAACCAGGTGCACATTGTGGACACTCTCCTGATTCTATATGACAGTACTGTAGGCAGTTTGAAGAACATCGGTGAGAACAATCTGTACCATAACGAGTGGGATCGGAGCAACCTAATTATGTATTTGTACTATGACACAATTTAGCAACAAATTGTAATTGTTTATATTTGTATTTATTCTAAGCAATAACATAAAAAGAGTTCAAACGCTTATCTTTATATCTTAACAGTTGTTTAAAACCCAATAATTAAATATAAATATATACTTTTTTCAAACAGCTTTTAAAAACATGGGGTATTGATGTGCAGTTTTTTAACAAATGTATTTTTATTTATGTAGGAAAGTAATTCAGCTAAGAAAATACCTTTCGACGGGAAATTGTTACAACAATCACGTGACTTGAGTAGTATTCAGTTTATTATAAAAATTATCAGTCTTTGGACCTTTTGTGCCTCATAGATAGTTATGCTTACCATTATCATTTAAGACTTTGATGATTTTCATTTGAAACCTACCATAAACTTCGACCTCACAAAGCTCAGTGAACGCGTTCACTGAATATCCATTTGGATAGCTGACGCCCTGAAGTCTTTCATTATAGTAGATGACATATTGTCCATGTACTGGACAGCTGATGTTGGCAACGGCTGGTATTGTTGCTCTGTTGTAATTTGTGTCGTGAAAGCATAATTTCCCAGCGAGTCTGTCTGTTGTATTTGAAATGTACACATAAAATCCAAGAAATCTGGTTGTATACGCATTGGCAGAATCTGAAATTTTCAATATTGTATTTTCATAGAAAATTGATAGCTTTCTATGAAACAAGTTTACAAAATAAGCACATCTAAAACGTAAGTTTTTTTCTTAAATCTCCATGCCTTTATCCATATTTTGTTTTTATTTAATATTATCTTTAAATATATATAATATCCTGAAATGATCAAAGGATGAAGCTTGGGCATTCAAGTAGTTGAAAAGTAACTAAAAATTTCCTGACAGTCGACTTATATGTAGAGTTCCGTCGTTTAAAAAAAAAACAACTTTCTAGACCCCTTAGTGATCCATTCCTTTGACTAAATAGTGGATTTTCTCCTGTGGTTTACTGACTTTGCCAAAACAGATACATTTAGTAACTACATCTATTTACAGATATATCACTACACATGTACATACATCAATTGAATATCATATTCACTGACTTCTTACGTACTCCAGAACACGTTATCTGTTCTGTAATAAATGACTATGAAGTTTATTCCACGAACTCCTTCTAGATTCACCCACCACGTGGCAGTTCTTTCCCCATCTCTAGAAACACTGCATTGTTTTCCAATATAGGAAAGATCTGATCTTTGACCATCAACAGCTCTTGATGAACTACTATATGAAGGGTCATGAGTTGTGCTTTGCCATGTAGGTCTGAGGTATGCTAAATTTTCTGTAAAAAATAATAAAGTGGCAAGATGTGAATAGACAGATAATCCGCTTGCGAGTCTCTCAAAAATTTAAAATCCGTTAAATTTGAAAATGTATGATATGATAGTTTAGTCAATATGTTATTATTATTACTGTTATTATCGTCAACTAAAAAATGTTAACCGTTATTTTTCAGTTTATGAAGACTAAGTTTTTATTATTTTACCTTTATATAGTATGATTACATATGCTTACTAATCTTTACAGTTTTCTTAACAGTTACAAACATATCTTTGATATAAAATAGATTTTTTTTTTTTTTTTTAAATTGAATCTGCTGAAAAGGCAGTTAAAGTAATATATTTCATTTTTGTTGTTTGTCAGTCCTTTCATCTATTCATCTTTTATTCGAATGGAATTATAAAAAAAAAAGCAGTGCCTTTTAAAAAAGAAGATAACAAATGTTGGCTTTGCTACTGTCTTATATATATGAACTAATAAATACTATAGCCTTATAAGTTCCATTTTATGTGAAACAGTAGAAGAATATTGTATATGAACCTAAAAGTTTTATGGATCTCTTAACATGTCGATGAAAATATAAATAAATGAAATAAGCTCGGTAAATGGATATTAGATGTTAGTTGAAAGAAGACCACTTTGATTATTTAATTTCAAAGTCCTAATACACAAAAATAAATAAATAAATAAATAAATAAAATCCAGCTATCACAATAGAAAGCCCGGGTATTGCTTCCTTATTCTTTTAGCCACACGCAATTCTATTCATTAAAACAGGGATATTTTTCATAGTACATAATTATAACCTTATGTTAAAAAAAATGTTAGAAAAAAAGAACATGACAAGGAAATTATTTATTCTGAAATGAAAGAGAAAGTTTCCTATCAAGCATTTTTGGAAAATTTGTAAGTCTTATTCTATTTTTGTTGATAGTATTCAGGTATCAAGTTACTTATTTTTTTCTTTACATTTAAGTATACCCCCTCCCCTTTTCTTATTTCAAATTGAAAGAAAAGTGTGTTTGAGTATTTTGTTCCAGTATCTGTCCAGTATCTGTCTTTTTTTTTTTTTTTTTTTTTTTTTTTTTTTTTAAATTTAAACACACCTTTATATTAAGTAACTGTTTACTGAAAAGAAGGAATAGTGCTTTAAAGAATCTTAATGTGGATTTGTAATAATTCAAAGTGCATAACATAGACATACTGAATATTTTTTACACGGTTTCTTACGTTGACATCGTTGGTCAGCTCTATATTTATAATCTTTAGAATGTAGCGTAGAATAGGTCTTACACATGTTACGTTCATAAGAACCATTTCATAAAAGACATGTTCTTTTAAACGAAGCAAATAAAATTGAATTAGGTTTACTTATATTCTCCCGTAATGTGAACTCTCAATTATTTCTTCCCAATAACATTTAATAAAAAAAATTAATGCGTTTGTCTTTCCTTTTCAAGCAGAAACAAGAGTTGGGATATGTTTATAAGAAGATAGCATAAACACAAGTTTAGGAAATTAGAGTTTTTATTAAAAATAAGCATAGCATTAAGGCATATGTTGTTTCTATGTGTAACGTAACGAACTCACGAACTTTGAGCCATGTCAAGGTATGAAATTGTAAAAAGTAAAGAAAAAAAGAAGGTCAGTGCAGTGATATGTCTAAGGAAAAAAGAACATGTGAAATATGAATTTTCTTCCAAAAGTTTAGGGCAATATCTTAACAATTACATAGAAAATCTTTTTCTTCCTGTCGTATTTCAATTTGCTTTACTGCGATAATCCTTCTTAAATTGACGCCTTAATCCAAGTATGTGCTTATAACAATCATTTGCATAGAATAACTTATTACCCTAATGGTGTTCGAGTGTGTCAATTGTCCAGCCGCATTACAAAGTGTCATTTGAAGCTCTTGTGATTTACAAAATGCTGGTCTAGCTGGTTTTGTTTATATATAACTGCTTTAAACTAGGATCATTTAAATACATAAAAATGCACATGTAGCACATTCCTATATAAATGATTTTATTATAAACTTAAAATTAATGTGTTCACGTTTTAAAAAAGCAGCTATATTCGCAGATCGCAATGTGTCAAAACAAGCTTGATATTTTTTTTCAGTACATCAAGATTACCGGAAGAAATTTCAAACTACAATGATTCAATCCTACAATTATTTACTCTTAGAATTAAAATCAAGTGGCGTAATGAATATCGCTAGTAAACAAAAGTAAAGAAGACAGAAAAAAGGAGAAAACAATTCTTAAATCTTTCTTTAGTGTGATAAATATAAATAAAATATCCCCGACAGGTTGCCGCCAACAGTGTCTTTTGTTTCGTTATTGTGTTAAAAAACAAATGATTTTGAAACAAAATTGGTAAGATACATGTAACTCGCATACATCTCTGAAATTGAGTGAGAATAATTTTCATATTTTCATAAGTTATGTAAAGTAGTTTGCAACGCATTTATGTCAAGTAAAAAATAGATGAGAAAAATCATGCAAACATAACTTAGATGGTAAATTTGTATAAACAGTACAATTTATTGTTTATGTGGAACCCTTATTAAAAGCTTTCCTCAATTTTGTGTTGAAAAGCTATTTGCAACAAATTGATTTTATTTTGGTTTATGAAACTCAAAAAAATGCGTATGTTAAGTTCACGTGAGCATTTCAGATAGAATTTTCCCGTTATTATGATCGGGCAGACGGGAAAAAATCGTAGGCAATTCAGTGTGAAAATAATGGCCTAACAATTTTTATGAAAAACATCAGTCAAAAATAGACTGCATGATATAATGTATTAGCTGAGAGGATCATTGTATCGACCATAGAATTTGCACAATATTGACCTGAAAGTAGACTGGTGTTATTCCTCTTTCATTACCTAATAGTCAAAAGGTTACCTCGTTATAGAAATTGTTCGTAGTAATGCATGCTCTTGCGTATTTGATCAATTTGGAGACATAAAGTCCATATGCAGGTGACAATGGTATACAGCTACAAAAATAAGGGAAGTTGACAATTGAGAAGCTCAAATCATGTTTATGTTGACTGTTATTTAAAACTTCATCTCAAGAAAAGCAAAGCCATGGATAGGTATATTTTTGTTAAAGCAACCTCAGGTACATGTAGTTCATATTTAAGTTTGTTCCTAGGGCAAGCGTGGGGTGACAAAGGGTGATACATGTTTAAGTTATGAATAAAGAGAAAACATCTTTGGAAATCATCTTCTCTAGAACAACAACACCATTATAAGAAATATTTATATGGAATCGTCCTCATGTACTTTCGATTCAAGTTTTCTAAAATGATGATCCCTGAGTGTACGGTGGGCCCACAATATGTAATCAAAGTTTTACATATATAGAGACATTTGGAGAAAAAAAATGCTGCTGAAGTACAGTAGGGCCATGATGACTCAGATTAGGGTTATTGCCAATGGTCTTCTTGTTTCCTGTTTTACCTGCTTTTACACAAGAAATAATAACATACAATACGCTTCAATAAAAAAAAAAATATTTGTATTTTAGAAGAGGTAACGATATGGTACAAAGGTTCATTATTTCAATGCAGTCTTGAAGCGTTAAGAGCCAAAAAGAATTTTCAATATGAAATTATATTTTCTTACCGTATGCATGAGAATACACCAGAACACAGAAGAGAAGACATAGTACATACATGACTGTCTAAACCTTTGACTGTCTTACAAGGTCAACAAGGAAGAAAAAAACTACGACAGAAGAAGAGTATATGTCCTTACTGAAAAACTATCTAATATCCAAATCTAGTACTCTGTGCAAAGGGTAAGTGGGTCCAATTATGATTCTTATAAATAATACATGCTAATATTCATAAAACTCAGTTACTGGACAAAGCTTAAACTGTCAGTTACCTAAAGTTATGCATTTAAAAGCAAAATATGAAGCACTATATCAATATATATACATGTATCATTACATAAATTACGAATACCGATTTAATATTTATTAACTTTCAGGAAAAGGTGACGTTACAATTTTTAGTGGTATCATATGCCACTACTGTTCCACCAACTGAAACAGGTCACTTTTACCTGATTGTTCGCCTTGTATCGTAATAAGGAGATTTTGTCTTCACTCTATTTTTTTGGCGCCATAACAAACTTCAGACATCTAACATAGGAAGTGACTGCTTCGTCATTCAAAGTGACAGTCATTAGGATTAAAGGCTTTGTAAAGTAGTCGGTATTGTCAGGTTAAGTAAGCTATAGTTTTATGACCTGAAGTGTCATGCATGGGTAAACATATGTGGCACTTCAAATTTTCTAGATGTCTCTCAACGAGTAACAAATTCTTGAATATTACGTTAAACAGCGTTGCAACAGTATTAACAATTAAATAATTTAAACAATTAATCAACCGAAATTCCATAAGTGAATGAAATGTTTGCTAAATTATATAAGGGAAACAATTGATGACCGATTGATTGATAGAAGAATTCAAAGGTCAAGCTGAGAGAGTGCAAAAGCTAGGAATAAATACATGCAATATACCAGTTATTTGCTTACGTTCTTGAAAAAAATAAATCTTGTACACATAATTATTCTGAGTATTCTAAATGTCAAAACTAATGTTTATTGATTTAATTACTGGCTTACTGAGAGTAAAAAAGGGAACTTTAGATATGGAAGCATTCAACTTCACGCCATATATAACTGGAGTGTTGCAAGAAACACAGGATGATCCTCTGCAATTCAGTTAACTGAAAGATTGCTGAAAGGTGACTGAATGGCAGAGCTCTTTTATTAACTTTTAAATGTCAAAAAATATGTTGTATATCGGTACACTAAGATATTTTGTAAAGTAGGTCAAAGGTCAAGTTTAACGGTCACATGGTCGGGACAATTTTATAGAAGGCCATAGTACCTAGCAATATATGCTAAAAATATGTGCTAAAATCAAATTTAACAGTTATCAAGATACAAGGTGTGACAGACGGATAGCTAGACAGAGTGGCAGGCAGACAGACGGACAGATGCCGTATAAAGTGATCCCTAAGTGTCGCTCTGCAGGCGACACAAAATAGGTTTGTTTGAGTACCGAAATAAATGACAAATACTAAACATGACCAAATTAGTTTACTTACTTAGTTATAATTATAGTAAACATATTAAATAAAGATGCATTTCGTATAAAGAAATATTTCAGATTGTAATAGAATCCAAGTGTTTTATCACATAGCCAAGAGTTATACAATCTTTATTTCATTTGCTACACTTTTTATTTACTTCATTGTTTGATTTCAAAATATTTTTTTTATAAATGCATTTAAGCATTCACACAGAATTATGAGATCAAACTTGGGGAAAAAAGCAGGGCGCAGTGACCTTTTAATAAATAAACAAAATAGAACGTTAGTGGTGTACAATAGATTAAAACAGTAGAACATTAGAATGAATTTGACAAAAGGAAGAAATTATTGATTACATTTGATAAGTCATTACATGTAATTTACCATTGTAATCAAGTATATACATGTAATTATACATATTTTGCACATTATGTGTCTTCTTATCTACTACATATGCTAATGATATCAGGAAAGGTTAATATTTACATGTGACAGGATGGAATTCTAGCAATAATTTTTACCAAATATGTTTCACTTTGAAACCTTCTTCCATCTCGGAATATTCATCTCTTCCATCCACTCTTATGTTTTATGGCATTAAATTTATAAACATTGAAGTCAAGAATGCAATTATACTTTAATATTTTTATTTTTTTACGATGAATTCGAATATCTGTCAAACTGTTATTGAGATTGACCAAATTTGTATTCATGGAAACAGATTTTCTATGCTATTCTAATTCACAAATATTAAAGATGTTTCAGTTCAAAGACATAATAATCAACTTCAAAACTGTTCCTTTCACGATTTTTTTTCCGACTTGAAACAGAAGATAAAGACTCCCTTTAATTTTGAATTGTAGGCAGCATATAGGACCTAAAAGTATGATTATAGATTATCTTTAAATCATCTTTTACCATGCCCACATGATGGTTTCTTAGGTCAGTCAGCGAGTTATTTAAATCGTTTAATCGTCATAAAAAAATCATTTAACAATATATAGGCCTATCTGCTCCATTTATATTCTTTACATCTTGTCGAAATTGGGCACGGTGTTAAGTAATATATCCATTATGTTTTATACATATGATTGGTGTCGTACCGGGTCTTATAATACCTACTGTAGTGAAATAGATTACGATAAAGAATAACAGTCGCTCAAAAAATAATTCAAAGAAATCTTTGAACAAGGTATCAAACATGGACCCCTGGGAACTCCAGAGATGGGATTAAGTACCTAAGAGGAGTAAGCTTTTTAAGTCATAACCATAAGTCATATTTTTGAGCATTATATGAGTACCTGATTCATATCTTAAAAAAATAAAAGGAAATAAGTCAATACTTTACAACTTGAACTTATCTTTTCACTTCTATTGTATTTTATCGTAGTTTTCAGCAACTTCCAATTCGTACCTATCTTGATATTCAGGATTTTCATAGTCATCTTCAATTTCTGAGGTGGCTTCTTTTTCTGAAACTGTGACGTCCACAAAATAATTCTTATTTCCCTGTTCCCCATGGTGCTTAATCCTACAAAAAATAAAGTAATTTAGAAATTTATATCAAAATAAGATGCAGCAATGTTTTATAATATTTTTAAAAAGGAATTACTTGCCTTTCTTTAACTTTGTAAAACGTGTTATTGAAAATAAACAGGATACAAAGGACTTCAAGAACTGCACGAAATTTCGTCGTTTTTAGCATTTAATGCACATTATCAAAATGAATCTTCAGTTAATTTTGAAATTAGTATCACGATAAGTTTTTACACTAACCCACGAGACATTCCTTCCCTTTTTTCCCCCAGCCTTATATATAGCAACTTTACAGGATACAGTCAAATGATGACAATCAAGTGAACTTTTACAAAACAAGCTACATTCCCGTTTACATTCATGTCCATATAAACCAAATTCACAGACTGCATATTAAGACTGATAATTACCACAGCATATCTGAAAGTTTTACAAGCTTCATAATGTCTTTTCCAGCCTTAAAAACTATCGTAAAATTGGTTTAATTAGACATTAGACATTTACCCTTGTCACATGTATTTCCAAGGTATCCAGATTGACATCCATTAGCACAGGAACCATTAATAACCTAACACTGTTCTTTATTTCGACATTGTCCACATATCTCATGCAACATTAACCGCACCGATTATTATCACACTCCATGATTTTAACAGAAAAAAATAAATAACAACAGTAATGTGCGCCATGGAAGAAGAAATATGAAATATATTCAAGAAAAAAAACTTGCTTATAAATGTCAGATATGGCAACATAGATTTGTAAATAAATTTAAAATTGATTTATTACGTGTCACACCAATTTTTAAATGCAAAATAATCGCTACTTTAGCAGGTTTTATTTAATTTCATTCCCCATATTTATTATGTAATGCATTCTGAATTTCAATTATCTATTTTTATGGTGTTTGTTTTATAATGAACACAAATCAAAATGTAGTATTTACCGGAATAGAAGATTAATATTTTTTATTTATTTATTTTTTTTTTTTTTTGGAGGGGGGGGGGGCTCAACCTTTTTTGTAAATTGAGTAGATATTTTTTAAAATGGCTGTATCCTTCATGACAGAATTCTCCTTTCCAGCCAGGATACCATTCATTGTCACAAATGCCGATTGCTCATGTATCATTACAGTCTCTTGTTAATTCGATTTTCTCCAACATATCCATGCTAAATCATGCTAAATCATAATCAAAATAAAAGAACATTGCATATTATTATCAGTCACATATTATACATTTGGGACACAGTAATATTGGTATTTTCAATAACGGACATGAATGGAAAATTTCTGTTCGTTTTTGAAAATGAAATTCGGCTTGATGGATTTTCTTTAAGTAATTTTATTACTTTCATTGCAGAATTGTTCCTCTTATATCCTCCTGCACATCCGTCCAAACAAACCTTATTTTATGACATTTCTTGGGTGTTTTATAATGTCCACAGATATCGCTACAACTTTCTCCAAAAAATCCGTTACTGGATTCCAAACAATTTATTTTTCAAACCCAACAAGGAATGAATACACAATTATAAGAGTATTTTACAAACAAACTGTAAGAAATATAATATCAATACAGAGAATGATAAAGCATAACAATGAAGATCTTTGAAGGCTACGTCATCAAAATGTGCACAGCCATTTAAAATAAATAGAACAATGTAGTAAATAGCGTATTTTCCGTGTACAAGCGACGGTAGGCACATGTACCTTGGCCCTGGTGTTGTCTTTCTCATGGAAACTTGAATGAAGGTCTATACTGTTTGTCGAATTTGATACGTATATGTAGAGATAAAATCCAAGAAATCGATCTTTATAGTCATTATGATCATCTGTAAAATTGATAATTTTGCGGTATGTTTCATTATAAACACGGCATTTCTGATAATATTTATCTTGCGATTTTTTTTTTCTGTTCTTCATTTTATGGATGAAACATTTAAAAATACAATGTATAAAAGTTCAACTTAAGGAAGGCGGGGCCTAATTTGGAGGGGGGGGGGGGGAAGGTACATGGGACATCACATAAAAAAGAATTCATAATAAATCAAATAATCTGCAATATACAACTGTATACAAGTATTCAAATACACTAAGACCCACCATAGCATTTTTTTTTTTTTTTCTACACAGCAAAGACTAAGCAAGTAACTCATTATATTTCAGTTATCGACGTGGCATCGTCATGCGAAATCTAACGCATTTTATGTAGTGAGAAGCGGATCAAGTGAAATATTTTTCAAAGTGTAATGGTCTTGGAGATGCCGGGTACGAATTACCCTGTCACCTCAGGAACACGTGACTCTTTGTTCGGGCACCTGTTGCGTCGTGTGCAGAGACTCGCTCTCTGCCCGACTAGTTGCTGACAAATCAGACTTGTTTCTGTAAGTGTTATCTGTTTTTTTTTTTTTTTTTTTTTTTTTTTTTTTTAATAACAAGAAGTATTAAAGTGCAAATTAATATTTGTAAGGTTTACTATATTAAATGTATTTTAGGGGAACTTGGATTTAATTCTACAAGTGGCAATCCAACTTATACTCATAGTTCAATTTCTAAAGAAGAAATTCTTTAAAATCATATGTCAGTTTCAAATATTTTTAATATTCAAAACAACTAAAATGAATTTGAATTACCGTATTTATATTGGATTCTGAAACTTCTTAAAAATCCTTACAAACAAATTTATAGCGGGTTCCAGTAAATGTTCAACCTAGCCTCTTTCTTTACACTTTTCTTTACTCCTCACTAAGATATTAACAGTAGTGAAGGAGAAACTTCAAGAGTACTGTGCAACAATATATTCGAGAAGTGGTGTAAATCAGATGAGGATACTTAAAAATTCCAAGGAACTTTTGAAAAAAATTGAAATCATAAAATTTTACCAAAATCAACAGCTTAAAAACTTACGATTTTTGAACTTTATACACAACCATTCCCCATGATAAAATAAAGTCCAGGCTTTTTGATATCATTGACAGCTGCTTTTTCAATAAAAATGGAACTCGTAAATTTACTTACCTTCTCATTGGTCATTTGCAAAAAAAATATTTTGTTAAAAAACATTCTGATTGTACACACAAGTACTCTAAAGTTGACAATAAAAAGATGCCTGAGATTCTGGTTGACAATATCTATGTGGTTTTTGGAGACCAGGTCTTCCAATAATCTATTGGAATTCCATTGGTACCAATTGCGCCCCGTTATTCGCAGACCTTTTTTGTATTCATATGAAGCAGAATTTGTCCAAAGTCTTATACGTGAAAAAAAAGAAAACACTTGCAGTGGCCTTCATTTCGACATTTAGATATATCGACGACGTATTGTCAATTAACAATGATTATTTCCATTCTTATTTCGAAAGGATATATTCCGTTTAGCTTGAGATAAAAGATACCACAAAGTCTGAAACATCTGTTTCATATTTGGATATTTTACTTGAAAAAGACGTTTATGGTAATCTAACAACCAAGCTTTATGATAAAGGTGATGACTTTAACAATTCAATCTTCAGCTTCCCTTACTTATGCAGCACTATACCTTCATCACCTGCACACGGGGTTTATATCTCTTCAGTTGATTCGATACGCAAGAGCATGCTCTACGTATGTACAATTTCTAAACCGAGGTAAATTATTGACAAACAAATTGATGAAACAAGAATATCAGCAGTCTTGTTTAAAGTCATCATTTCGTAAGTTCTATGGTCGATACATTGACATTGTCAGAAATACAATTTATCATTGAGTCAAATGCTGACGTTCTTCATACTAATTGTCAGGCCATAATTCACACACTGAGTTTTCGACGAATTTTTCCGTTATTTCCCGATCATGACAAGGATCACAGGGCGGGTGATGCTCACTCCTCTGTGGCACCTGAACCCCCCCCCCCCCCCCGATGTTTTGGATGTCCGTGTTTGACTGCTCCTATTTTGTAATGTTCAGTGGACTTCTGAGCTTGAATACAGTTCGTTATCTTACGAAAGCCTATTAGGATCAAACTACGGTAAAAAAAAAAATTTAAAAGGCGTTATAACGCGAAAAAAGGCGTAATAACGCCTTTTGAAAAGGCGTTATAACGCGGAAAAAGTCCTAATAACGCAAATAAAGGCGTAATTACGCCTTTCCAAAAGGCGTTATAACGCGAAAAAAGGCGTTATAACGCCTTTCCAAAAGGCGTTATTACGCCTTTCCAAAAGCGTTATTACACCTTTCCAAAAGGCGTTATTACGCCTTTCTAAAAGGCGTTATTACGCCTTTCCAAAAGGCGTTATTACGCCTTTCCAAAAGGCGTTATAACGCCTTTCCAAAAGGCGTTATTACGCCTTTTCAAAAGGCATTATTACGCCTTTTAAAAAGGCGTTATTACGCCTTTCCAAAAGGCGTTATTACGCCTTTTAAAAAGGCGTTATTACGCCTCTTTCTTTTTCAATACATGACTTACTTAGCCCACCCTGGGGGCTGATTATAATTAGATTTCTAGGAAAAAAGATTTTTAAATGTGTAAAATATTTTCAGTGTTAAACCAACTTAGTCCTTCTCTGATGCCAGACGCTTCTTCCAAGGTGTATGGATTTCAGAAATTTTGTTGAAGGCTAATAGCTCATTATACCTATGCAAATACTTTGCCTGTTTTTTACCAAGAGGGGAGAAAAATATTTCAAATTTGATATGAATTTTTAATACGTGGCTAGCAAAGCCCAAACTTGCGGTTCTGCCTATATCCTGGATTTTCAAAAGTAGAGTGTTGACTTCTCTTAATATGCATGCAAAATGCAAACAACTGTCTGCGAGATGTGCAGGCATATAGAAAATACTATAATTTATAATATAATTTATAATATTAAAACTATAATCTAAATATTGCATAAATAAAGATGGCTTTGGTTCAATCTTTCATATATTTACTATTTTAAAATAACGCCTTTCCATTTTTGGATACAACTCCTTTTCAAACAGGCCGGTAGTACGAATGTGAGGGGGGGGGGGGGGTCCCCCACCCCACTTTTTGGGAGAATAGTCTTGCTATAGTTTAAATATAAAAAATCATTAATTGATTGCTTGGTCCCTTAACATTTTGTTGCAGTATGGTTAAACTCGGGCAAGTCATTGCATTTAAAAAAAAGTTTTACTGAAAAATTAGAAAAAGTTTCCCCTCAAGTTTAGGCAGTTTATTTTTTTCCGGGGGGGGGGGGGGTCTTGTTTTTTGTTTGCTTGTCAATTTTATGCCCCCCCCCCAACTTTAAAAGCA